AGTGGTACGTGATGGTGAGCTGGTGAAGTGGCAAGGGGGGTATATGATGAAATGGGACTTAGAGAAAAAAAAAACTACAAGAGCTGCAGCTCTCCGGCTACTCGGCTACACAGGGGCGTTTCGGACACTCTCCGTACATACAGCTTCTTTCTTCTTCGGATAGTGTCCGAGTCATCAGGTGGACACAGGTGACATCGATACTCATCTATCGAATGTCGAGAAACTCGCAACTCGTCTGAATCAACTTGTTTCTAAATCGAAGCTAAGTATGGATGATATAGTCTGCGCTGCTGTCAGTGCTTCTCTTCCAAATGACTGGAATGCAGCGATCAGCAGTCTTATGAACCAGAACAATCTCACTGCTGGCTCTCTCATGTCTTCTCTTCGACGAGAGGGTATCCGTCGACGTGATCAAGCATCTAGCTCTCAAATACTTGCTGTTACCAACGAACGTAACCAACAAGCCATTCAACCTCGACCTAATTTTTCTTCGAATCGAGGTAGAGGAGGTAAACAAACAAACAACTATTGACCCAACTCTTCTGCTACTAGCGACTTGTTATGTTCCCATTGTAACATGAAAGGTCATGCTTGGCAAACTTGTAACAAGTTGGCCAAACAGTTTTTTAATCAAATGATTCAGAGTCAACCATCTTTTTCTTCAACATCTCGTAATCATGAAGCGAATTTTGTTAACCAACCTTTGACCCAGTCTTCTCCATCGACTGTTTATCATCCTTCACCGATGCCTTTTAGACTGTCTGATTCTGTTTTTCAATCAAACGATCAAATCCCACTTTCAGCATGGAACTTACCGGACACTACTGTTCACAAACCAGAAGGGTCCGGATTCCTAGTCACTACTGAACATCAAGCTTTGACTACGACATCAAGCAAACGATTATGGATTCCACTGCAGACATTATTCGGGTTCCCCAAGTGGGCAGGGAAAAATGATTGGGAGTATGATTTGTCATAAAATGGTCTATCACTCCACACCTGAGCCATAACACCCACACTACATATGTGTAGCAGGCTCAGTGAATATGTGGTTATCATGTACATACAGTTCTGCTCAGTTATCCGCTCATCAGGACAAGTTATTCATATGTAATACATGCTGTAACTTCTTTCAGATTGAAAAAAGCTTCCAAAAGATTGACTACATACACTGACTCAATGTTTTGGTGTGATCTCATCAACTCAACTGCATGTAACACACTTTCTGTTACTAAGACATAGCTTCAACAATATTGCCTGAGCAGCTACAGAATTATATGTAGTGAATTTTTGGGAAAAAAATTTCAAAGTCGAAAAAGTTACATGTGGTATAACATGTGATTTATTTATTCTGATGGGCAAAAAACTGAGCAGACCTGTATGTACATGATAGACAACTATTGACTTAGCTTGCTGCACATATGTAGTGTGGGTGAAATGGCCCAGGTGTGCAGTATTAGATTCTTTTATGAAAAACTGTACTATTAATCATTTTCCTCTGCCAAATTGGGGAAGTTGAATGATGTTTACAGTGTTCTTGACTCAGGATGTACTCAAAGTTGTCTACCAAGTTTTACAACAGAAGAGTTGTTTAATTCATCTTTATCTGCTAATACTCATGTTTCAACTATAAGAGTAGCGAATGGTTTAAGTTTGAATGTTTCTCAACAACGTTTGATGTCAGTCCCTTGGAGTGGATCAGGACCATCAATTGACATTATCGAGGTACCTGGTTTAAAACATAGTCTTCTTTCAGTTTCACAACTACGTTCATTAGGTTTCTCAACATCTTTCTTATTGGATCGAGTTGAAATCATTTCAAAAGAAGGCTTAGTGGTGGCTAAAGGTTCTTACCGCGGAGGTTTACCGATTTTTCAAGACGAAGTCAGCAATTTTTGTCTTGAATCAAATGTGTGTTCTATTCCTAATCAATCTTTCTATCACTGGCATTGTGCATTAGGCCATGTAGGAGAAACCGGTACAAGACGAGCACTATCACATATGAATATTTCTGTTCCTATTACTCAGAAAGATTTAGAGGATGTGAAGAATTGTCTACATTGTTGCCGAGGCAAACTTCACAAGAAAACTTTCAGGTCTCGTTCTAATTATCATGCCAAGTCTCCTTTCAGTGTTGTTCATTCAGATGTTGCATTTTTACCTTTGAAGTCGAAAGCTGGGTTTCCGTATTTTGTATCATTTATAGACGATTATTCAAAATTCACCGTGTGCTATGCTATGAAGTCAAAAGATCAAGTTCATTTATATTTTAAAAAGTTTATTAATCTTATTCTCATGAAATTCAATCTTCCTGTTTTAAGTCTACGTTCTGATAATGGCACCGAGTACATCAATCAAAACATGAGTGATTTTTGTTTGAAAGAAGGCATCACTCACATACAAGGAGCACCTTATACACCTGAATCTAATGGTGTTGCAGAACGATGGAATCGTACAGCAGCTGAGAGATTGCGCACTCTGTTTTCATCTTCTAAGGTACCCTTATACTTCTGGCCAGAATGTTTACAACAAATTATTCTTTGTTTCAACAACTTTCCGACAAAAACGAATGCAGGTTTATGCTCACCTTTGTCAGCTCTAAATCAATCAAACAATGACATCACTTTATTTGCTCCTTTTGGGTGTGCGGTTGAGTATTTACTACCACCTGTACTTCGGTCTAAACTTTCTCCTGTTTCTCAAGAAGCAGTTTTCTTACATTCAGTGCCTGAAGGTAAATACATTGTAGCCTACGATAGGTCTAGGCACTTATTAATCAAATCATCATCTTTTAAATTCTACCCACATAAATTTCCATTTCTCGTTTCTCCAAGTCAACAATCAACAGACATTTTGTCATTTCCTTGGTCTGACCTTGCTGCACTTGAAGAACCTGTACAACCACGACAGATGATAACTCAATCACAAAGAATTTCACCTATTCAAGAATTACCAACAACTTATTCTCCA